TTAATCATAATTTAAATATTATTTTATTTAATCATAATTTAAACACGGTCTTAATTTAATCATAATTTAAATATTATTTTATTTAATCATAATTTAAACGCGATCTTAATTTAATCATAATTTAAATATGATCTTAATTTAATCATAATTTAAATATTATTTTATTTAATCATAATTTAAACACGATTTTACACCCGTGGCTCGGAACGGGGGGATTTTTCAGGGAAGCCTTTTCCAAGCAAGGACTCGAATTCCCCCCGGGAAGGAGAAGCAGGATCCAGGTTTTCCCTGTGCCAGAGCTCGGATCCAACCGGAGCCAAAAGTGCTGCCTCAGCAAAAGGCTCCCGGGGCCCTTTGTGTTAATTCCTCACGGAATTCCCAAATGAGCCAAGATTTGGGAAGGGCTCCCCCCACACTCGCTCCAAGCGCTGGTGGCTAAAAAGGTCCATGTGAGGCAAACACGTCCGGGTGCCAAAGGCACAGCAGAGACTCCTCAGGTGGAACATTCTGCAGGACACGAGTCTTTCTGTGCTGTCTTTGCTCCTCCCAGAGGCGTCAGCAGCGTTATGGGTTGTGTGTCTCCAGAGCTCCCGACTGGAGGCCAGAGCAGACCAGTGATGATGATCAATGTGGCCGAGGCTGAGATGTTGTTTCAGGGAGTCCTTGTGTCTCCTCTTCGGGGCTCCTCTCTTGCAGCAGCCGGTGGCAAGTTCACCATAAGCAGGATCTTGGGGAGGGGGTGGTTGGTCCTTCACCCTGGAGACGTGTCCTGTGTTCTCACAACATGGCCTCAATCCTTGTGATTGCTGCCTGTTCTAGAACAGATGTGTTGGTCACATAATCTGCCCAGTGGATGTTTAGGATTGTTTGGAGGCAGCGTTGATGGAGTGTTCTGGGAGTCGCAGGTGGTGGCAGTAGATGAGCCGTGATTCAGATCCATATAAAAGAGCAGACAGCACCGTGGCTCTGGAAACACTGACCTTGGTGCTTTTCTTCAGGTGTTTATTTCGCCAGACTCTTTTATGAAGCTTTCCCAAAGCTCTCGATGCCTTTGCCAACCTGTTGTCCATCTCTCCATCAATCTCACCATCCCAGGAGATGACGCTGCCCAGGGAATTAAACTGCTGGACTGATTTGAGCTCTGATTCTCCAATGGTGATATGGGGGTGATGGGGGACTTCCTGAGGTGCAGGTTGATGGAGAACTTCAGTCTTCTTCAAGCTGACTTCCAGCCCAAAGAGCTCAGCAGGCTCAGCAGAGCAGGATGTTAAACGCTGCAGAGCTGCTCCTGTGTGAGCGACGAGGGCGGCGTCATCAGCGTAAAGCAGCTCCCGGACAAGAGGGTTTGAGGTCTCAGTGTGGGCCTTCAGTGCCTCAGGTTGAAAGGGCTTCCATGGGTGTGATACCAGGAGTCAACCTTGTCCTGAGCATCAAGGTTGCATTAATTAACTGCAGATAATTAACCTCCTCTGGCCTGGATCAAAGCCCCACTCGCTCCTTTCCCTCCGGGAACGAGCCCTTGGAACGTGTTGGGGGAAGAGTACGGAGGGAAATCGTGGATTCTCTGGAAGGAGGAGGTCGGGATGGGTGGAACGGAGGGAAAAGAGGGGTCAGAGAGAGGGAGAGGATCCATAACATCCCTTAGGATTTGGGATTGGGTCCGATCCGGGTGGATATTCCCATTAACAGGGGGATGGATCCCGGTGGTGACACCACTGGGACACCACTGGGAATTCCCGCTGGGAGGGGACTTTATAGGGCTTTATGGTCTTTATATGGCCATCAATGTGTTGTTATTGCATCCCTGTTTATTAATTTATTTAATTTATTAATTTAATTTATTAATTTAATTAATTTAATTAATTAAATTCAATTAACTTATAAAAATATTAATTTAAATTTATTAATGTAATTTAATTAATTACATTAAATCAATGTATAAATTTATTGAATTGATTTATTAATTTATTTTATTTTATTTAATTAATTTAATTAATTTAATTAATTTAATGTATTGGTTTATTTAATTTATGAATTCCATGGGTAAAAGCAGATTTAAAGCCCTTTATCTGAAGGAGGAGAGTCATTGTCAGTCATTGTCAGACAGAGGGAGGGAAAGGATCCATGAGATCCCTCAGGATTTGGGATTGGGACCGATCTGGGTGGACATTCCCATTAACAGAGTGATGGATCCCGGTGTTGGTGCCACCGATGGGACAATGCCGGGAATTCCTGCTGGGAAGGGAGGGCTTTGGGCAAAGGGACAGGAATGGGGTGAATTCCCTGGTTTAAAGGGCAAAGACCAACCCAAATTCCTCGGGCCGTCCCCAGGTCCTGGCAGGGCAAAGGAAAGGGGGGGGGAGGAGGGTTTGGAGGGAGGTCTGGGGTGTAGGAAGCGAGTGATGGGATTTTGGGAAGGGATTCCTCCCCGGGAAGGTGGGCAGGCCCTGGAATGGATTTCCCAGAGGATGCCCCTGGATCCCTGGAAGTGTCCAAGGCCAGGCCGGATCCCCTGGGGTGGTGGGAGCTGTTCCTGCCCGGGGCAGGGGTGGAATGGGGTGAACTTTAAGGTCCTTCCAACCCAAACCCTTCCGGGGTTCTGATTTGATCAAACCTGAACGTTTCCTTCGTTTGTTCCAGGTGATCCCAGAGGAGCAGGAAGAGAGGGAAGAATGGGAAAACCCGGGAGGGAGATGAAGGACAACACCAGCCCGAGAACAAGCTGGGGCTGAATTTGGGATGAAAACCGGGTTTCTCATCGTCCCAGGACTTGCAAAAGCTCCCCGGGGGAGTCAGCGGCAACTCAGGGACTCATTCCCAGCCCCATTACCTCGGGAAAAGCTCCTTGTGAACCCCCCCCGTGTCCCGCGGGGGTGGGAAGTGGGGATTTGGGTTCTGGCAGCAGCAGAACTCGCGCTCTGTGGGACATTTGTGGGACATTTGTGGGACATTGGAGGAGCTCGGGGGAGCTCCCGAGCCCCTGAGCCGCGCCGGGAGCCGGGCAGGGAGCGGGGAATTCCCCAGGGAATGGCCTGGAGCTCTGCCAGGGCAGGTTTAGGTCGGATTTTGGGAAAAGGTTCTTCCCCCCGAGGGTGGTTGGGCACTGCCCAGGCTCCCCAGGGCAGTGGGCACGGCCCCGAGGCTGCCAGAGCTCCGGGAGGGTTTGGATGATCCTCTGAGGCACAGGGTGGGATTTTGGGGTGTCCTGTGCCGGGCTGAGGGTCGGATTGGATGATCCTTTTGGGTCCCTTCCAATTCGTTATGTAAGAAAAATTCCTCTCTTGAATTTTCGAAAAGCGGCAAAAACTCGTGAAACAAAAAGAAAGAATTTATTCAGCACGCCGGGTCCAGTCTCACACCGAGTTCTCCGGGGAGAAAAGACTCTTTGGATTTAAATTCCATACATTTTATAGTTTCACAAAATCCCGCCCTTTTCAGAGAAGTTTAATATATTCATTTTTGCCTAAAAGGGTTTCTTTTCTCTGAAAAAGAGCCTTTCCCTTCCTTCCGATTGGCTGCAAGGCGTCCTCTGTCAAAAATGACGGCTCTTCCTTTGTTCTTTTAGCCCAAAGAGAGAGAAGAAACCCCCGCGTACAAAATTTCCACGTGGCCCCGAAAGATTTTAATTTTTAAGAACTTTTACATTTCCCTTTATCCGGCCGAAAAAAAAAGACCCTGACACCCAGTTCCAAACGGGACTTGGATATCTCACAACTTCGCCACACGCCTGTGTTTATAAAAATCGTATTTTATCTCCCATAATTGTATTCTGGGATTCCGGGGTTCCGCGAAGGGGAGCAGAGTTCGGCGGCAATGAGGCATCGGCGGGTGGAACCTCCACGCCCAGCCCTTAATGACACCCTGAGCGGCCCCGCAGGTCCTGCCAGGGCACAACCACCTCCCCCGGGCTCCGCCGCCCCCGTCCTGCCGAGGGGGGCACGGGGAAGGAGCCGCGCCGGGGGGTCGCGGTGTCCCCCCCCGGCATCACCGAGCCGGGAGCGGACGGGACGGGGGTCGCACCGACCCTGGGGACGGACCAGGAGTCGCGGTGTCCCCCCGGCTTCACCGAGTCCCGGCAGAGCCGGGAGCGGCCGGACCGGGGGTCGCAGCGACCCGGCGCCGCCCCGGGGGGTCGCGGTGTTCCCTCCGGGCATCACCGAGCCGGGAGCGGACGGGCAGGGGTCTCACCGACCACGGGGATGGACCAGGGGTCGCGGTGTCCCCCCCCGGCATCACCGAGCTGGGAGGGGACGGATCAGGGGTCGCGGTGTCCCCCTCGGCATCCCCGAGCCCCGGCAGTGCCGGGAGCGGACGGGACGGGGGTCGCAGCGACCCCGCGCCCCCCCCGGGAGACGCGGCGCGAAGCGGCAGAGAGAGGGGAGAGGGGGGACAAGCTCATGCGGGCGAGCGCTCCGAGAGGTTTCCAGCCCCTCTCCCGGCCCGTCGGAGGGGAGGGGGGTTTTTGTGCGGTTACACCTTCTCGGACATGCCCCGGGGCGGGGGGTGCGGCGAGTGCAGCTCCACCGACTGTCGCCGCCGGGCCTCGCGTTCCGCCCAGTCGGGCTCGGGTTCTTGGCCCCGCAGGATGGCCAAGCGCTCCTGCAGCGTCCGGGGCTGCGGGCACAGCACGTAGTTGTAGAGCACCGAGGCCGCGGCCGCCCCGACCAGCGGCCCCACCCAGAAGACCTGCGGGAGGGACGGGAGAGCGGCGTGAGGAAACCCGGAGGGGCCGGCGAGACCCTCCCGGGGATGGGGTGGGAGAACCGGGAGAGATGAGGAGCGTCCCGAGGGAGCAGAACGGCCCCCGGCTCTGCTCTGGGGGTCTGAACTCCCACCCAGTTCCCCAACATTCCCAACCACCCAAAAGACCTGTGGGAGGGACGGGAGAGCAGCGTGAGCCAAATCCGGGGGGTCTGGAGAGACCCTCCCAGGGATGGGGTGGGAGAACCGGGAGCGATGAGGAGCGTCCCGAGGGCTGCCGGTGTTCCTCCTGGGAGCAGAACGGACCCCGGCTCTGCTGCAGGAGTCTGAACTCCCACCCAGTGCCCCAACATTCCCAAACACCCAGAAGAGCTGCGGGAGGGACGGGAGAGCAGTGTGAGGAAACCTGGGGGGTCTGGAAAGACCCTCCCGGGGATGGGATGGGGTGGGAGAACTTGGAGCAATGAGGAACGTCCCGAGGGAGCAGAACGGCCCCCGGCTCTGCTCTGGGGGTCTGAACTCCCACCCAGTGTCCCAACATTCCCAACCCCCCTCTGCCGTCTGCCCCCCTCAGTTCAGAGCCCTTTGTTGGCACCGGGCCCGCCCTGGACGTGCTGAGGGGTTTGGGCTCCTCTGGAGGAGCAGCTTCCCGAGGAGCACCAGGAGGAGGAGGAAGAAAAAGAGTAGGAGGAGGAGGAAGAAGAAGAAGAAGAGAAGGAGGAAGAGGAGAAGGAAGAGGAGGAGGAAGAAAAAGAGGAGGAAAAGCAGAAGGAAGAGGAGGAGGAGAAAGAGGAGGAGAAGGAGGAGGAGGAGGAGGAAGAAGAGGAAGAGAAGAAGGAAGAAGAGGAGGAAGAAGAGGAAGAGGAAGAGAAGGAGAAGGAGGAGGAGGAGGAGGAGGAGGCAGCACTTTGGGCTGGACCCCTCTGAGCTCATCCCCCCGAACCCCCCCAGCTCGGCCTCCAAAGGTGCTCCTTGCCAACGGAAATCCCGGGATCTCCCGAGCTGGGAGACCCCACCAGGACCATCCAGTTCAAGCCCAGGACACCCCGACAAACCCCCCCATCCCTCAGAGCCTTCTCCAAACCCTCCTGGAGCTCTGGCAGCCCCGGGGCCCCGGTGAGCCCCAACACCAGGGAGGGTTCTCAACGGATCCCATGGAAAAGGGGTCTCTAAATCCACCGGGAAGCAGGAAAGGTCCCCGGCAAGCCCAAACACTGGGAACGTTCCCAAAGGATCCCATGGAAAAGAGGTCCCTAAATCCACTGGGAAGCAGGAAAGGTCCCCAGCAAGCCCGAACAGTGGGAATGTTCCCAAAGGATCCCATGGAAAAGGGGTCCGTAAATCCACTGGGAAGCAGGAAAGGTCCCCAGCAAGCCTGAACACCAGGGAGGATTCCCAATGGAACCCACGGAAAAGGGGTCCCTAAATCCACTGGGAAGGGATTCCCCGCACTCCACTGGCTTTGCTTCTCCTGCCCAGTCCCGCCAACCCACCCCGCTCCTGCCGCAATCCCGCTGGGATGAGCCGGGGCAGCACCTCCTCCTCCTCCTCCCCCTCTTCCTGCTCCTCTCCCATCCCTGTTCCTGCTGGGAAGGAATCCCGAGGGCTCATCCCACCCCCTCCAGTCCCCCCGTCCTCACCCAGTGGTCGCTGAAGTCCCCGACGATGACGGCGGGGGCGAAGGAGCGCGCGGGGTTCATGGAGCAGCCGGTGTAGCGGATCTGCGGGAAAACCCGGGATCAAAACCTCCCAAACCTCCTTCGGCCGCGTTTTACCCAAATCCTGGGAAGTCTGGATGATCCATCCCCTCCCCGCAGCATTCCCAGCGCTGGGAATTCCTCCTGACCCGATCCCCACGAGCTCCAAGGATTGCAGGGATAGATCCCGCCCGGCCTAATCCCGGGGAAATTCCTGCTCCTGGGAAGGAATTCTTTAGGAATTCCTGCTCCCGAAGGCGGGAGAGGAGCGATCCCGGGACACGGGGGCTCGTGGATGGCCTGAAGGTGGAGCTTTAGTATGGGAAATACTAAATTCCCAGCGGGAATTCCCGCAGCGTCCATCCCAAACTTCCCAGAGCCTCGGTTCCCAACACACTGACTCCAGCCGGGAAGATCCTGCCGCTCCCTGGAGCTCCGCACGGGATTCAAGGAGCAGCAGAGCCCAGGAAACCGAGGGTTTTCAGGGCCAAAATTCAGGTTTTCGTTCCCAAAAATTAAAGGTTTTCAAGTCCAGAATTAAGGTTTTCATTTCCCCAAAATGAAGGTTTCTCATGCCCCAAAATTCAGGCATTCCCATTCCTGTTCCTGTTCCCATTCCTCACCCCCAGCAGGTATCCCACAGCCCCATTCCCATTCCCTTTCCCATTCCCATTCCCTTTCCCAATCCCATTCCCATCCCCATTCCCCATTCCCATTCCCAATCCCATTCCCATCCCCATTCCCATCCCATTCCAATTCCCATCCCATTCCTCACCCCCAGCAGGTGTCCCCCATTCCCATCCCCATTCCCATTCCCATCCCCATTCCCATCCGATTCCCATTCTCGTTCCCATTCCTGTTCCTATTCCCATTCCCATTCCCATTCTCTCACTCCCAGGAGGCATCCCTCATTCCAATTCACATTCCCATTCCCTCACCCCCAGCAGGTGTCCCCCATTCCCATTCCCGTTCCCATTCCCATCCCCATCCCACTCCCATTCCTATCCCTCACCCCCAGCAGGTGTCCCACAGCCCCATTCCCATCCCATTCCCATCCCATTCCCATTCCTCACCCCCAGGAGATGTCCCACAGCCATGCTCAGCCCTATGGACAGGGTCGGCAATCCCACGGGATCTTCCCATTCTCATTCCCATTCCCATTCCCATTCCCATCCCCATCCCCATCCCCATTCCCATTCCTCACCCCCAGGAGATGCCCCACAGCCACATTCAGCCCTATGGACAGAGCCGGTGATCCCATGGGATCTTCCCATTCCCATCCCATTCCCATTCTTGTTCCCGTTCCCATTCCCATTCCCTCACCCCCAGCAGGTGTCCCATGGCCCCATTCCCATCCCATTCCCATTCCCCACCCCCAGGAGATGTCCCACGGCCACGCTCAGCCCTATGGACAGGGCCGGCGATCCCACGGGATCTTCCCGCCGCTCGTCCGTGGATGCCAGGATGCAGAGGACGAGCTGGAATGTCAGGAACAGCTCCACCGTCACCGCCTGCCCCGGGGACGTCTCGTTGTGCAGCTGGAAAAAAAACAGGGAAAACACATTCCCAATGGGAGAAATCCCGCAATTCCGGTGCCCGGAGCCAAGAGGAGGGAAAAATTCCCAGGGAAAAGGAACAGTTCCGTGGGAGAGACAGGATTTGTGTCGGCGTTTCTTTGGGAATTTCTCCTCCCTCAAGAAATTTTAATTGGATTTTCCCACCCTCAGGAAATTTCTGTTGGATTTTCCCACTCTCAGGATATTTTATCAACATTTTTGGGGTGTTTTCCCCCACTCAGGAAATTTTAGTGCCTTTTTTGGGGGGAATTTTCCCCCTCTCAGGAAATTTTTATTGGATATTTCCCCTCTCAGGAAATTTTGTTGGCATTTCTTTGGGAATTTTCCGCCTCTCAGGAAATTTCTGTTGGATTTTCCCCACTCTCAGGGAATTTTATTGGCCTTTTTTTGGGAATTTCCCCCTCTCGGGAAATTTTATTGGCATTTTTGGGGGGGGGAATTTTACCACTCTCAGGAAATTTCAATTGGATTTTGCCCCTCTCAGGAAATTTCTGTTGGATTTTCCCCCCTCTCAGGAAACTTTAATTGGATTTTTTCCCTCTCAGGAAATTTTATTGGCATTTTTATTGGATTTTTCCCCTCTCAGGAAATTTTATTGGCATTTTTTGGGGGAATTTTCCCCCCTCAGGAAATTTCAATTGGATTTTCCCCCTCTCAGGAAATTTTATTGCCATTTTTCGGGGGGAATTTTCCCACTCTCAGGAAATTTTATTGGCATTTTTATTGGATTTTCCCCTCTCAGGAGGTTTTATTGGGATTTCTTTGGGAGTTTTTTCCCCCTCTTGGGAAATTTTTATCGGCATTTTTTTGGGAACTTCTTTTCCCCCAGAATTTCTCTTTTCCTCATGCTCCAAATGCCTTTTGGAAAAGCTGACAAGTTGCATTGTATATAATATTTAATAATGCAATATTTATACCTAGTTATTATGTAAATAATATTTATTTTAGCTAAAAATAAAATATGCAACATTATTTTATATTATATAAATATTATATACAATAATACAATATTTGTATACAATATACCATATATAATATTTTGTATACGAATATAATAGAATATTTAAATTTATCATATTATATTTATATTATATATTATATTAGAATATATAATATTATATTATATTATTGTATAATTATATTATATTTATAATACGATATGAGTATAATATTATTATACTTATATATAAAATTATACAATGTAATAGTATAATAATATATTTATAATATAATATGAATATAATAGTTAATATAATATTTAATAGTAGAAAGAATTAAAAATTTTAAAACACTGCATTTAGAAAACGTCAAAAAAATGTTTTGGCCTTCAAAAAAAAGGGGAAAAAAAATTCCCTTTCCACACCTTTTTTTCTTTTTTTAAGGATAATTCGTGGAGGCAGAGCAGCCCAGAGGGAGGGGAAAAATTCCCCAAATCCCTAATTCCCACTTTTCCGCTGGTTTAAGCCCCCGGTGATGATCAGATTAAACCCCAACCCCTTTTCCAACCCTCTTTAATCCCTTTGGAAGCGGAGCCGAGCCCTGGCAGGGGAATTCCAGGTGCTGCTTCCACCTGGAACGGAGGGACTGGAGCAGGGAAGGAGAATCCCGAGGTTTTAAACCCCTTTTTTCCCTCTTTTTATCAGCGGAGAGGGGGGTTGGGATCCCACTGGGGAGCCCCTCGTGGATTCCCTGGATTTATTCCCCCCTGTCTGAGACCAGACCGGGATCCTTGGGATGTTCCCGGAGCATCCACGGGATCAGGAGGGACTTTCAAAAAAATTCCTCAGCTTTGTCGGTTTAAAGCTTAAACCCAACGGAAAAGTGGGAATTAGGGATTTGGGGGATTTTTTTTGCTCCCCCCTGGGCAGTTCTGCCTGCACGAATTATCCTTAAAAAAACCCCTTCCCGCTTTTCCCTGCTCCCTTCCGAGCCCTTCCATGTGCCAAAGCCTCGCCTTGGGGCCACAAATCCCTTCCCCACATCCCCCAGACTTCCCAAAAAAAACCTTTCTGCTCTTCCCTGCTCCCTTCCAAGCCAAAAAACCCTTCCTGCTCTTCCCTGCTCCCTTCCAAGCCCTTCCCAGTCTTCCCTGCCAAGCCCATCCATGTTCCGAAGCCTCACCTCGTTGGTGGCCACAAATCCCTTCTCCACATCCCTCAAACTTCCCAAAAAAACCTTCCTGCTCTTCCCTTCTCCCTTCCAAGCCCTTCCCTGTGCCAAAACCTCACCTCGACGGCCACAAACTTCCAAACCCATCCATGTTCTGAAGCCTCACCCTGTTTGTGGCCACAAATCCCTTCTCCACATCCCTCAGCCTTCCCAAAAAACCCTTCCTGCTATTCCCTGCTCCCTTCCAAGGCCATCCGTGTGCCAAAGGCTCACCTTGGTGGTGGCCACAAACCCCTTCCCCACACCCCTCACCCT